TCTACCTTGTGAAATAAAGTTGTTATTGAGGTCAGGGTTTTGGCTTGTAAGGCTAAATGCCAGATGCTACAAACCTAAAATTCACAAAAAAGACATTTAATGGTTTCTAGAATCAAATTGTTTCTACAAGAGTTACACAGATTTCAATAAATTTTCTTTAATGATCTGCATAAATCCAGTGACATGTTTAGTCAAGTGTTTTCTTCGTAATGGAGTTTCATTTAGGCCTAAGGTTCATTACATTCTGGTGGTTTCATAACTGAGGCTGTAGGCTGTTTCGCTGCTCTGCCCTGACCCTTGACATTCACATCAATCAGATGCCAGAAAAACACCAATAATGACTATGAGAAGTGGAGTATTATGGTGACAGTTGTATGACACAGTCATTGTTGTTATTACAATAAATCTGTTGGCATAGTAGATGTAACCTCTATAGCCAAAGGGTGCATTCAGACCACAGCATTTCACAATATAGATTGAGCCAATACTTATCTTGTCAGTATTGTCTCGTTAAAACAATGTACTGCAATACAGGGCCACTGTTATGTGCCGTTCGCACCTGTCAGTGAGCGAACGAGAAAGAGGTGGACCCAGGTAGCCGACTTCGGTGCAAGCAGTGATTTATTATGTACAGTGATGAGGAGAAATAACAAAATGCACAGAGGGAAATAGTGCGTAGTCCTGTCGATGAGTAGTAACCGGGTGTTGACCAACAGTAGGAGGTGAGGAGATGGAGAGCTGGGCCGAGCTGCGTAGGCTGGGTCACTCCTGGGCTGGTCGGTGGTGATGGTGGCTACTGAGACAGAGAGATGATGACAATAGAAGAACAGATAGTCGACTGAGCATTGACCTGCCTTGGAGGGGAGAATGGAGCCACGGCCTGGAGGAACAGTCCATGGGGGGAACACAAACCAGTAGCTGGCTAGGGGATAAAGACATACAAAAACAACAAAAGAGCACGGAGAAAAAATGGCCTAGAGACTAGAACGAACTGGCAAGTGACTGAGGAGTGAAACCGGGTAATATAGTGAGCATCCTAATCAAGTGCAGCTGGTGATAAGGGAGTGAGGACCAGGTGAACGTGATTAGTGTTAATGGGCAAGAGACAGTAGGAAAGGTGAGGGAGGCCAGAGCGGCCGAGCAAACCTGACAGCCACTAACCCAGAGGCTGAATTTATTAGTCATTATTTTCTGCAAACCTATGTTATGTTATGAACTGCATAACAAACTCATTATCTAAAGTATGTGCATTTTATCTAATGTCGTTCCCCTTCAAAATCTGTCAAGCATAACCCCTGTTTTGATATTTTATATCTGAACAAGTCCTCAGGTCCTTTGATATTCAACCTGCTGTATATTTTTGCCTAATAGCTGCTCATTAAATCGAAGTGATATATTCTTCAATGTAGTCACTGCAAATGTGAAATTTGATAATATCACTGAGTATAATTCTCCTCTTTCTA